TGCCAGCCACTCATGGCCCCTGTGCCTGTATTAGGTAGGTGGGCAGTTAATATCCAGCTACACGTGCTAATAGCTTCCGAGCACTTGCAGCTTCTTTCTCGAACGGTGGGGGAAGAAAACGGGCTAAAGCTGTTATCGGCGTCTTGGTTGGCGCTACCACATTGCGAAGACATGGCCCGGATCCAGGACTAACTAGTCTAGGCAACGGATAAACTGAACCGGACTGAACTTGAATCGAGTATCAACCTCGACGTTTAGCTATCGAACTTGTCTCTCGCACTATCTCCTTCATGGACGACAAGCTGGGGTGGAGAGGGCAAGATAGCACCAAAGTTCCCAGTTTGAGCAAACCAACTTATCGCCGATGAACCGCCAAGCTTTGCCATCCTGACATTGCCCTGTTGCACAGGATATCTGTCTATCTATCAAGGTGCTACTGTCAGGACTGACGGCAAATCAAACAGCTCCAGATAGCCCCCAAGTTGTGTAACAATGGTCAGGAGTCAGTAGCAGCAGACAGCACAACATGGCGCTGTTTCGTCATCTTCTGCTTTCTGCTTTACTATGAGCCATGAACACCAAAAGTATGGTCCGAGACATCTGGTTTCGCATGATCCCATCTGCTGCAGGGGTTCACTCTCTCACCGCTGTTGGAAGAGCCATAGTTTTCGAGCTCATCAACGTAAAAGTGAAGCTAACAAACTATACAGCCTGCCAGACTGCTTCTGGTTGAGTTGACTGAAATTCGGGATGTTCTTTCATTTCGCGTTTCTGTGTGTGCGTGTCACGTCAAGGTCTGCAACATGCCAGTGCCAATTTTAAATTCATGTCATTGTGTAAAAAGGCTGTCAAGTTGAGTGACACATGAAGTCGGGTTCCTACCGACGACATGTACGCCCACTTCCGTAATCTCATACTCACTCGAGTCCAGGCTCACAGGATTTTGGCCCAATTGCTCTGGAGATCTGAGGAACCATTACGACTGACATCTGTAGAACGAATTGGCCCTCAACCAATCGCTCTCTCGGCGAGTTGTGACCACAATCCAGCTACTATCCGTCAACAATTGAGCTCGAGTTCCGTCTGTCGATGTGAGGACAAGCACGATGGCGGAAGATTGTTAGTTTAGGCAGCCCTTGGTTTCACACAGCGTCCTGAGGATCCCAATGGCTTGTTTGGATATTTCCCCCTTTCTTTCTTCGCACACCCCGTAAACATAGAGCCCAACGTGACACCAGAGCATACTGTCCGCACTCGGTCATGGATAGACGTGATTTGAGAGAAGCAGTAGCACAAGGTAGCTCCATGCGACATCCGCGCCATAACAATATTGCCGACGTGCCGGTGGCTATAAGAGATGAGTTTTCTCACCGTCAATGCCCTAGGTATCTCCTCTCTTCGCCCCCCATGTGCCCATCGTTTGTAGTTGATCCCCTGCTGGTGTGTTGACAATGCGGCCGGTCTCTCAGCTATTGGTGCTCCTGGCGTTGGTACTTGGCACGGCGGCCAGATCGTATCATCGCCGTGAACAGCACACCCAGATCCTCAAGGAACCCGGGGAGCGGCATGAGACTGGAGGAACAAACAAGTATATCATCGAGATCGAGAAGGTTAGTGAACCCCGAAGAAGATTGAGGATTGGTCCCATCCCAGACAAAGAACGGAGAGGTGCTGACACGACCCTTCAGGGCACGAGACTCGGGCCTCTTTCAAAGAGATTTGAAGAGGAATCCGAGGCCAATGGCACTTACTACAAGGAGTTTGATTGCAGTGATGTGTTCTCTGGCCTCACCATTGAGTCAAAGACCGACAACGTCGACTCGCTGCTCTCAATTGAGGGAGTCGTCAACGTCTGGCCCTTGAGATCTGTCCCAATGGCGCCGCTGGCGAAGAGAAGAAAGCTGTCGGGTAATTTGAAACATCTTAACACCTCTGCTCACCACTGGACTGGAGTGGATAAGCTGCACAAGGCTGGAATCAGAGGCAAGGGCGCGACCGTGGCAGTGATTGACACTGGCATCGATTACACGCACAAGGCGGTAGGAAGTCACAACTCGAACATTGGTTCTACTGATTTTAACGAATCTTGTAGCTTGGTGGCTGCTTTGGGCCTGGCTGTAAGGTCGCTGGAGGATACGATCTTGTTGGGACAGACTGTAAGTGACAGCACATGCGCGAGAAAGATGAGAGCGAGACTGACTTACTAAACCAAGGGGACTCTCATGAAGAGATGCATTTCCCTAAGAAGCCGGACGATGATCCGAGAGACTTCTATGGACATGGAACGCACGTTGCGGGCATAATTGCTGGGAAGAGCGACTGGTGAGAATGAATACCTGAACAGCTTGACATTTCTCCAGAGTTTGTCGTTAAACAGTCACTCTCACAGGTTCATTGGAGTAGCACCTGATGCCGAACTGCTCATATACAAAGTGTTCTCTGATGTATGTACACCGATATCGCACACTGGGAATTGGATGATTGACAACGCAAGCAGGATCCGTTGGACACCGACGAGGAGGTCCTGATTCAAGCCTTCTGTGATGCGTACAGCGCGGGTGTAAGTTACTTCCATTCGCCCTTGATACATTATACAAGATCTCACCACGTACTAGGCCGATATCATCACGGCAAGCATTGGTAGGCCTAATGGCTTTGTGGACAATCCATGGGCGTTGGTTGCCAGCCGTCTTGTTCAACGAGGCATTGTAGTCACAATATCGGCTGGCAATGAGGGCTACACAGGTCCCATCTACTCCAGCAGCGGCTCGAACGGAGATGGAGTCATCTCTGTGGCTGCAGTCAATGCCACCGGAAACATCAACGATACTGTGGACTCCAGACCGGTTGCCGCTTATTTTAGCACTTGGGGTCCTACCAACGAGCTGCTCCTGAAACCGGACATCGCCGCGCCTGGCTTCGACATTGTCAGCACGGTGTTAGACGGGGAGTATGAAGAAATGAGCGGGACGAGTATGGCGGCGCCGTACATCGCTGGAGTCGCCGCCCTCTGGATCGGCAAGTATGGTGGCAGGGCTGTCTATGGGCCCAAGACCGCCAAGCTGGTCTCGGAGCGCATCACGACCAGTGGGAGTAGCGTTGCCTGGAGTGCAGACATTGTCCGCTTCAACCAGACGGCCCCTCCGTTCCAAGTTGGAACTGGACTGGTCAACGCTTTCAAGGTCCTGCACTATGACACGCAGATAAGTGCAAAGCCGTTCTCTCTCCTGGATACAGAGTCATTCCAGCCCGATTGGACGGCAGATATCTTCAACCGGGGAAATACCAGCGTCACTTATACTTTTGAGGTTGAGCCTCAGTCCGGAATGGAGCTTTTGGATAGCTATTACGGCATCAAGACATTATTTGAACTCACCCCAATTAGCATCGTCCCCAATATCACCCTTCCAAAGCCAATCACGGTCCCGCCCATGAAAACCAAGACAGCCGAGTCTGTAATTCTATACCCCTTTTTGGACAGAGAACATAGACTGAGACTTGCCTTTCTAGATTCTCATTTCAGCTCCCCAAGATTAGTGATGAGCTCCTGCCACTCTATGGTGGAAAGATATGGTTCAAAGGGAGTAACGGGGAAAGCCTTTCTGTCCCCTATGGTGGTAAGTCTTGCCAAAGCATACTTGAAATAGAAAGCAGGCTTTTTATAACACTCATCCTCCTCAGGTGCGGCTTATGACACCGAAAAGGAGTTTGACTCCATGTTCGCAACCCAGCCGTATATAAACGAATTCGAGAACGACTGGAAGTAAGATCATCCCCCTGACACCATACCAAAATTCCATTAGCTAACGCCAGATCCTACAACCAAGGTGGAGTTTCAACACGAACGTGAGGCCGTACGACTTCGTGGAGCTGTCTGCCCGCCTCCGGTACCCCTGCTCTCACCTCCGATGGGATGTAAGTATAGGAACCCTCAACAAGCCTAGCTAGATCTTGCCAATGAATTAGGTACTAACTTGTCTTGATAGATTTTCTCCCGGTATTGGGATGAGCGCAGCTGGGTCCTGCCTACTGTCCCCGGGGAAAATGGCTACATTGGTTCGGCAACTACGTTCCGGGACGCCGACATGTTCTGGTACTTTGACCCGAAGCGCATGGATAAAGAGGACACGATCCCCTTCCCCATTATGCGGGTTCCGAGGGGTTATGGGAGCTACTGGTGGTTTGGCAAGTTGGCCAACGGGTCGTACATCAGGCCGGGAAATTATACGTGAGTTACCTACTGCATTCTGCCCTTCCACTATGGAGTTCATTACCATGATGCAGCTAGAAACAGCCACCCTCAGCATCAATAATGATATTCTAACACTCTTGGGAACAGTATGCGATTTGCGGCGTTGAGACCGTATGGGAACCCCAATCTCACAGATCACTGGGATATCATGGGTCAGGATGCGCTATCATTCGAAGTTCTACCGATGAACACCACAAGAAATTCAACCAGGCTAATCAGACATGCATACACATAAGCTAGAACCCCGTGGACGCGGCACGGAAATGCTTTTGATTTATTGGCCCCACCATTTATGAGATTTGGATGGTACTTCAAGAGTTGAGCTTGAGCGGAGGTTAATAATGGTTTACTTGAAAATGGATGAGGATTCAGATGAGAGGACAACAGGCGATGGATAGGGAAAAGGAGGTAATGATCGGAGCACGGCTTCTTCCAATTCAGATGATGAGTTTAAGCTTAATAGCATGGTATCCAGACATTCAAGTCTATCTATCCGATAATAATCCCTGACATTAAAGAGAACATTACAAATCCCAAGAACTGTAGGTAGGCACTAGAGCGTGTCTGCCGACCTAGGTATTCATACAAATCATAGATCCCGACATTAATATCGCAATGCTAGCAAGACAAACAAGGCTAGCCTTGCAGCCCACAGCGGCTAAAGTATCCAACATCAGGTTGGATCACGCCTGAAGTATACATCCAGTGTTGCTTTCCAGGGTGTGCCACTTGAAGAAATGAAATCGCTTTATGCCCATTTACCTAGAACACTCATGAGGACCAAACCGCTAATTAGACCGAAGAATGCCACGCAAGTGGTGATGACATTAGCATCAGCGAGCTCAGCCTTACGGCCATGAGAACCCGTCACCCAGTCCGCGGCCCACATCTCAACCAGACCGACCCAGACGAGCATGCCAGCAGAAAGTGCATCAAGTGTACCAATAGCAATGAGTGTCGACTTATCATTGCCGTTGAACTGTTTAAGAACACCGATGCCAATGGCCATACCAATTGGGGTGATGAACGCGAAGCAGGAAGCGAGAAGCAGTTTCTTCTTCATGCTCAGTCCTACAGGGACGGTCTCGGATGTTTCGGAGGAGCTCTCTGCTTGAGCAGCTTTGTTCTCATTAGGACCCAAAACCCCGCCACTTTCCACAGAGTGAAGCTCTGGATCGTCACGAGTTCCAATTGTAGCGATTCGGGTTCCTAATGCAAGACCCTCGAATACTTGATGGAAAAGAATCACGACGAAGAGGGTCAGAAAGAAACTGTCGCCAGCAACGACAAGGGTGAGACCGATTACTAGGCCAATGTTAGTGGAGTGAATATCGGAGAAGGATGAAGCAAGCTTACACAGTGAGTGGAATAGAATACCGGCTTCCATTACCGTGATACTCACGACCTCGCTCGAGATCAAGGCCTTGCTCTTTTCTTGGGGGCTGAGCGCTGCTTCGGATCGAATTTTGGATTGAACGATGCGATGCCCAACGTACTCAACAAGGAATGAGAGGAAAATACCAGCCATGACGATAGCTGATGTGACACCTTCGTATTCAAGTTCACCAACGCAGTCATTGCTAAACATCATCGATGCATGAGTGTACAGCTGTTGATCAACGATCAGCAAAGTTGATTGTATATCACATCATAGAGATATATAAACTCACGTGAATGAAAGCAGTCGAAAGAATGATACCGGTACCAAACTGTTTTAGCCCTACAAACAGCAAGTTGAGCTTATTTTGGAAGAGTTTGTGCATCAAGATGGGACCGAAGACGCCTATTTCTTGTCAGCGACGTCCAGTCAGAGCAAAGGGTTATCGGCAGTACCTAGTGAGCTTGTAGCAAGGATGACAAATAGCAGACCGACTCGAAGGCCGATGTTGTAATCCCGGGAGGTGGTTGTACAGGATGAGCTCGAGCTTGAGCCAGAGCTCTCCTCTTCCTCACTACCCCCAGTACAGTGCCTAGAAGCGCTTGTTAGGAATTGTTTACTAAAAGGTTGCGGGTAGGGCAAGGTGTCTCGATGACTTACTCAACTCCGGCATGAAAGTGGCAGTGCTGATTATTGTTAGTAGTTTCCTCCTCTTCATGTTCATGGGTCTCTTCAGTCTCCTCAGAGCCAGATTCGCTTTCAGCTTGGACATCCTCTCCGCTTTCGTCGACGCAGTAACTAGGATAGAGATTAGTGGCCGACAAAAAGCAGATTAAAGATGGCAGATTGAGGTTTCGAGGAGATGACGTACAAACTTGCGCCATGAGAATGGCAGTCTGTGTATTGCGCTGGGAGGGAGGTTGTGGCTGTCACTGTCGTCTTGATTTTGTACTCTGCCGTGCCAGCAAAGCAATATCTGTTGAAGAGGTTAGTGTTGAGCTGGACAGCAAGGGGTGGCGAGCTCGCTCACAAATCGGATGCATGAAGATGGCAGCCAGTGATGGCAGTGACCTGAGCCTGTGCTGTTGTGGTTGGCGCCTGGGTTTGTCTCGGGGCGAGATCAGCCATCACAAGGCCACAGAGGGCTAATGTCAAACATGTTTTGGCAGACATGCTGACAAAGGTTATTAAGGTTGGCGTTAAGGTTATCCTTGGTGTGTGTGCCAGTCCGAATCCAAATCCAACCCAAAAAGTTAGAGGTAACACCCGTCAGGAACCGCCGCGGAACTGAGCTTGGAGTGAACAAATAGACGGGCGACGTGGTGGAGGTAGGGATGGGATGGACGGGACTAGGAAGTATGGTTGCGATCAAGCTTATTTATCAGTTCGCGATCGATGCAAGCAGATGCGCTAGAGGATCACGAGTGGCACAAACCCAGAGTTGGCGTTACTCTTGGGACAGATGTAGAGGGAAAATGGAGCTGGACGAAGATATTTCACCAACTTCTCCGCTCAATCGAGGCATATACCTGCTGGAGAGGCAGGTGGTGGCTGCCTCCATTGGCAGTTGCTGCGGCCGCCAAGCCATGGCGACGGGTGGTGAGGACCTTGATGGTTTTGCCATGAGAGAGAGTTGAGAACCTTGATGGTCACTGTCCACCAATTTCGAGGAGCCGCATCCTTTCAGCAACGCTCGTGCTAAGCCGCCCCACCCTGATGACCAAAACCACCACGCACTTTGGCCACATTTAGCAACAGCTCTGGCACCACCGAGCAGCATATCAGGCCAGGAGGCCATTTGTATTTGAAGATTTAATGGCTCGACTAACGAATCATGGTTGACACCCGGGAGGCCTCATGCCGTCACCCCAGCCTGCCGCGAAGTTAAAAACCTAATATCAGGAAGGCCCCTGTCAGCATAGCGCATCAAAAACGTCTGGGCATAAATGAGAGCTCCCACGTCATCTCAGAAACACTTGTCTAGGATATGTAAGGCCGGTCCCGTGTTGAGGTCAGACTGTCTTACCACTGATGAATGTCTGCCACGTGATGAGGCAATGATGCTCTCAATATGTAACGGCTTGTACGCTGTGTCACGCCGGGGTTTCGGATATCCTCGCCAGTTGTAGAGCTTAGTCATCACCAGAGTATCTCGGCAGCAACTTATTCCGTGCCGAGATAGTGGGTTCGATGAGCCAGGAAAGTACTAAATAAACAATGCAGCAGCAAATTTTTTATTCCTTTTCTTTCTTTCTTCTTCATGAAACCTACTAGAAAAATTAATCCTTCAAATTCACTCTGGCTTTCATCTTCAATGGAGGTAGCGGAGGGGAAACTGGAGGAAAGAGAAACATCGTCGACTTACCCTCTGTTTTGCTTGCAGTTCGCTGCGAATGAGCTATGGAGAAATTTTTTCGACGGCGAGATATTCCTTCTTCGACCCCAGTAAACATTGTAGAGCAACAAGGCTACAAACGTAGATCGCCACGCTCTGAGGCCACGAATGTTCCCTGTTGAAAGATACAGAGGACAGTCGCTGGAAAGATCGTTGTCATGTATCGACTCGCAAATAGTGTTCTTGGTGCAAGGATTGAACAAACCAGGGGAAAGGAGTTTCTGATAAATCTCCATTCACTGTCTGGTGTCGCGTTCTACGCGCCTTGTCCATACCTTTGCCTGATGTGAGAGGTCGAATGCCGTCTGGGTGTCATAATTATCTGCCATTACCTATTCCTGAATGACCAGGAAATCTTTGTCCATTTTCCCCAATGGGACCATCACACACACAAGATGAGTTCATATCTGCACATGTGGCTGCAGCTCGGAGAGCAGTCGTCGAGTCTAGGTGCCATACGGGAGCTACCCCAAGGGTACAACTATAGTGCTCGCAAGATAGTAAAACCAGGAAGATACTTGGACAATGTAATAACAATTGATGCACAGGTAATTATGAAGCCCTGGCAATATGGTAGTAATTCAACGTTCTCATATTTTGCTGAACCTGTTGTGCTTTCTCTTTATGAACTCTTCGCTGAAATTCTGAATCGTTCTTCATCTTCATTTTCATATATCTGCAACGATGTTGTTCTTGCGCTTCTTCTTCAATCTAGAGTCCTCTTCATCGACTTTGGCTGTGCTGGCCTCCTCGACGACCCAAGCCCCTCGGGTTTATCCAGTTTTTGTGACGGCTTTGGCTTCTTTTTCTTCGTCACTTTCAAAGAGGGCGAAGTGGTTCCAAATGCAGACTCTTATCTCACGATAGGTAGGTCATCGAGTTCTCAATGAACCTGTTCGCATATACGTCCTTGCGTTTGTTGCCCGTAGAGAAATGACATTCATCATTGCCGGTAACGACTTCTCTACCCAGTGACATCCCGTCCGGTTGAACCAGCCCCGACACCTGCACCCTGAGTGTTGGCACAAAGCGCGTGCTCCGCCCCACCGTGATGACACACGATGAGCACTGATTATGTAGACAGATGCGACCTGGTCGTGGACGGCACGACCTAGCACAAAAAGATGATTGATAGGGCAAGTTTAGGCTGTATAGTCCAGTGCTCTGCTTTGTCGTCATGTAAGAACATCCAGGCTCTGTTTTACATGTTTTGTCATCTTCGAACAGTACAAAACGTTGGGAGTCAACGCGTTGGTGAATCGTGGCACGCTACATGATGACTGTCTGTGATCGCCCTACATTATCAACCCCGCTACCCCGCCTACGACTCGTTACACCTATCAAGGCGCGAGCATTTGCGATTTCTTCGACACTCTGCTGAATTCTGCCCTCTCTCCATTTCCCTTTACTTTCCAGGTTTTCTGTCACATTAGACTTTCTTAGGTTGAGCAAACTTTAACCAGCAACTTCCAACCCACACATTTTTTGTTTTTTTTACACAAGAAATCCCCTTCATCATGGCTGGTGGTGCTCCAGGGTCAAGCTCCCGCGGTCGCGGTGGGAAGTTCAAGAAGTACACAAGAGGAGGTAAGAACGCAGCATAAACCAAGATTCAAATATTGTTCCAGCTAACCTTGTGGCTCTATTACTTGCGTTACAGGCGGCCACCACTTCTCACGCAATCTACAGCCCCTCGACTCGGAAGGAAATGCCGTCAGCATGTGGGGTGTGGACGATGCGAAGAAGGACGACTCCGAATCCGAGGAAGACTCCGAGTCCGAGGAGGAGGACAGCGAGGATGATGATGCGAACGCCAAGGCGTCGGCCGCCGCCGCCGCCTCGCGCGATGACCGCAAGGCTCTGAAGAAGGCCCGCAAGGATGCCGCCATCGCCAAGCAAAAGGGCAAGACGGTCGAGGTGGGCGACATGCCCTCGAGCGACGAGGATAGCGAGGAGAGCGAGGACGACGACATGCCCGCCAACCCCAACCATTCCAAAGCCGCCCGCAAGCAGGCCGCCAAGCCCGCAGTGAGCGACGACGACGACGAGGTCAACAAACTTACAGATAAGGTGAAGAAGTTGCAGCCACTGAGCCGCAAGGAAAGGGAAGCGGCAGAGGCTGCTGCCGCCAAGGAGAGATATATGAAGCTACACCATGCGGGCAAGACCGATGAGGCCAAGGCCGATTTGGAGAGATTAAAGGCTATTCGCGAGAAGCGAGAGGCCGAAGCAGCACGTCGGCAGGTAAGTTTTTCGACCAAAATTCCCACTCCATCACGGTCGCTAATTCCTCGTTCTCTCTAGGCCGAAAAGGAAGAGCGTGAAGCCCAGGAGAAAGCCCGCCGAGCTGAAATTGAGGCTAGGGAAGCCAAGTTGCGAGCGGCGGCGGCTGCTGCGCCCAAGAAGGGGAAGAAGAAATGAAGCAATACACACGGTGCTGATCTATAGACATTTCAAAGTTGCCTTGGCTAACAGGCTTGGTTCTATCAACATTCAAATCCGCATGATCTGATATATCTTCTGCGTGAATTCGTTTAAATATTCTCGGAAAGTAACATTGATAGCAACAAATGGAAACTTTCCCACGAAAACTTTTTACTTCAAATTTTGCGGTTTAGAGAACACAACCTAAGCATGTACTCGAATTACTGACACCTAGTATATGCCATTTCAATGCCGGTAAATGCACCACACGCCACAAAGCAAGAGCTCAAAAGCCATAGTAGACCTTATCTTTACTTTTATACAATGTCCCAATCCCAGAACTGAAAAAGGAGGTATTTTCCAAACAGAACGCCAAATAATGCTAAAACATGAAACTGTTTATGTACGCCTTGGGTTAAAATGCTCCCATTCTATTCACAGCATGGGTTTCAAGTCGTCAGCAACCTTGAAGGGGGCCTCAGTCTTGCTCTTAATTTCCTCCACCGTTACACCGTCAGCAATCTCGATGAGAGTGAGGCCCTGGGCAAAGTCGACATCAAAAACGCCCTGTGAAGCAAACACGTTAGCTCGGCCCGGTTCCCAAAGGGGCACGAATGAAACACTTACAAGCTCGGTAATGATCCGGGATACACAAGTACGCCCAGTCAGGGGGAACGCGCATTGCTTGACGATCTTGGGGTTTCCCTTCTTATCCGTGTGCTCCATTGTGACAACAACCTTGGTCGCACTTGGGTTGCTCACCAGGTCCATGGCGCCGCCAAAGCCCTTGACCTTGCCGGGAAGCATCCAGTTGGCAAGATCGCCCGTCGCACTAACCTGCATGGCACCCAGGATTGTGAGGTTGATCCGGCCACTGCGGATCATACCAAAACTCTCCTCACTGCCGAACACAGCGGCTCCAGGGTTGAGGGTGACGGTCTCCTTTCCAGCGTTAATCAAGTCGGCATCCTCCTCGCCCTTCTTTGGGTAGGGTCCAAGACCCAGGATACCGTTCTCGGACTGAAGTTGGACCTCGACCTCGGGCCCAACGAAGCTGGGAGCCAACATGGGCATTCCAATGCCAAGGTTGGCATACATGCCGTTCTTGAACTCCTTGGCTGCACGTCGGACAATACGCTCGCGTTTAGCTGCTGTTTCGCCCTTGCCTAGCGCCGCGCTCGCGTCGTCATCCTCCTTCGCCCATGTGTACTTTTCAATGTTCTTTTCAGCGAGACTCTGAATAACCCGCTTAACGTAAATTCCAGGCAAGTGGACAGCCTCGGGGGGGATCTCGCCCGGCTCCACGATATGCTCCGCCTCGACAATAGTCATCTTGGCGTTGCGACCCATAGCACCGTTGAAGTTGTTAGCGGCAAGACGAAACTGGCAGTTGCCTAGTTTGTCTGCCTTGTAAGCCTTGACGAAGGCATAGTCGCCGTCGATGCTGTTCTCGAGAAGATATGACTTTCCGTTGAAGACCTTGACATCCTTAGGGTAGGAGTACTGATCTGGCGATCCGTCGGGCTTGTTCTTCAGGGGCAAATCTCCAGTCTGGACAACTGTGCCATAGGCAGCAGGAGTGTAGAAGGCAGGGATTCCCTTTCCGCCCGCCGCACAGCGTTCCGCCAGGGTGCCTTGGGGTGTAAGCTCAAGCTCAACTTCGCCAGTCAAATACATCGACTCAAAGGTCTTGTTCTCGCCGATGTAGCTGGCGATCATCTTCTTGACCTGCTTTGTCTTGAGGAGTTTTCCCAGACCATGGCCATCGGTTCCGGCATTATTGGAGACTGCGGTCAAACCCTGGATTTCAGGCTTATTGATGATCTCGTCAATCAGCGTGTCGGGAACGCCGCAAAGACCGAAACCGCCACAGAGAAGGGTTGAGTTGGGCTTCATGTCCTTCAGAGCTTCAGACGCTGAAGGATACACCTTGTTGATTTCTGCCCGTCTCAATGAAACTGAGAAGGCTCTGTTGAAAACTGGAGAAGGCTAGCGAGAGGTCAGCGGCTGAGACACATGACGGTTCCTGCTCCAACTGCTAAACCGGCTTACATTTAATCCATGGCGAGCGATGGCTCGAGCTGTCCTCAAACGTGTCACAAAGGACGACATCTTGACAGCAAATGAGGAGACGTGGGGTAATGAGAAAGCGACGTGTGAATCTCAAGTTGGTGGTAGCAATCTGATCTATGGTACGATGGGGCAAGATGTGCCAGTGCTCGTGAGCAAGAGAGATCAAGCAAGAATGAGATGAAGATGTCCGATCAAAATTCCGGTGGCAGAGACGGCGATTTAATGAATTCGCTGGAACGCCAGGTTCTGGATTTACCGTGTCTGGCCGAAGAGCGCCGAGCACAAGAGCCGCGGAACTTGGAGGAGACGGAATCTGGGGTCATGGGAGCTAGCCTAGTGCGGATTAGCGGCTGCCCACGTCGGATCCGATGCTGTCGAAGTCAAGACAAGAGGCCGGTTGCAGTCCAACCACCTGGGGAGTTCATGAATTCGAAATGAATTAACATAGTAGTAATGCAGAACATCCGTCACTTTTCAATCACTAGGTACTCAGCATATGGGACGTGGTTGTGAATAGCATCTTCCACTATCTACCAGCTTAGCCGCTATTAACCAATAATATCCGAGTTAATCAGGTGAAACTCAACGCCCGTGCCTGCTTTTTGACAGAAGCATTCCTGGACTCCGTAGTCGGCTCACACTACGGGTCAAAGGGCCGGTCCTGGTTGCCTGATCTTCCGTATAGAGTTCACGGATAGCTGTTGAAATCGGTTCCGTCATGTCTCCCGCGGCCGGCGCATATGCCATGCAAAGCGGGTCCTTCCGCTTCGCATTACTACTTTCAATGCTTGCCTACCTAGGTATTGCAGAACCTGGGTGAATGGCAATTTATTCAGACCTGAAACTGCAGCAACGCTGGGCGTCATCTCAAGGGTCTTCACATATGCCGAGCTGGAAGGCTATGTTGTTATCCAAGGCAACATAGCACCAAGCTCTTCCTTCCATTGACGAACAATTTGCCGCCAAAAAAAGGGTCTACCATGTCTCGGTGAGAAAATCAAATCTCGAAATGAATTTTTACAGTGTCAGTATGAGGAGGTATCAAAAAATTCTATATAAAATTGTTGGTTATTTTTGTTATTAGATATTCTAAGCTATATTCTAGCTAAGTAGTTATAGGAGAAGATAACAATACCTAGGTAGGTTTTTAGTATAAAAACCGGACCGTTAAGGGCGATGGAGCGTTAACAGGGGTTTTATTTTATAACATACGCAGCTTTCACTAATGAAGGAGCTGATACGGTAGGCTAGGCGCAGACGATAGCTAGGGGCCAGGTTCGTATATGCAAGGAAGGATATTGGGTTCAATTTGCGATATGTGCTGCGACAGCGCCTTGAGTACGCGCTGCCGGAGCGAACTATCTAGGATCCGAGGACAGAGCAATTGCTCCGCTCCTCTCCACCTAATACATATACGTTTCTCGGCTTCCCTCGTAAATCAGCAGCAAAGCTAGAAGCTGCGGAGCAGATTACATACTAAAGTATGCACACTGCTTGCAAGCTAGTAGCTTCGCTTCACAAACAACTTTAACCAGTGTAATTCGATCAGATTAGATCTTACAGGTATTTCGGATCAATCTTAAAAAAGCAGGAATCATATGCTTTCTGTGTCGGCCCACACGCTGGGTAAGGCATATCTTTATATACCTGTTTCTTCCAGTCGGTACGGAAGCAAACCATTTTACCAGATTCTTGCTTGCATCGGCCATTACCTTCCTTCTAAAGCTAGTATCAGTATCAAGGTACAAGAGTTGTGAATTCACATTTGACTTACTTCTGGTGCGCGGAGATAAAGCTCGCGCACCGTAAGAAACTCGTCACGGGCAGCAAGGTAATTCTCCCGGGCGACTTGGTACTCATTGCGGGCAATAAGTTCAGTATCCGTCAGCCGTGCTCTTGCAAGCGTTTGGAGAGTGAAGATAGAAACAATAGTCTTGATGACATGCATATTGAAAATATGATAAGTATAATACTTAATATTCTCCTCTATATTATACAGGAAAGATTGAGAGTTTAAGTATAGTTTTTCTACTAAAGCAACACGAGTAAGAAAGATATTTATACTCCAGCTGGCATTAACTAGGGTACTTAAATTGGTGGTTCCTGTGCTTATGACATGGATCGCAATGACATGAATCGCGATGGCATATATCGCTACAAGACCGTTGATGCTGGCAGACCATCATAGAGGTACCTCGGCAAAGCTGATAAAGCTGGGGTTTTCAGTAGCCTAAGGCTATAGCTGTTGATTGTATTTATGAGGGCCGGGGCAGATAGGATCGAGTAAGGGTCTGACTTACCTACTCAAGGCTGCAGCTGTTGATTGCATTCACCTGGATCGCGGCGGATAGGATCAGACTTACCTTCTTCAGGCTACTCGAGGCTGTACGACCTTTACGACCCTGCTATTAATCTTATTCATAGAGTCAGTATAGATAGGATCAGACTTGCCTGCCTAAGGCCGCTTGAGGCTGCAGCTGTTGATCGTATTCATCACTATCACGGCGAATATGATCGAAATTACCTGCTCGAGGCTGTAGCTATTGATCGTATTCATAAGGTTCATCATATACGCGCGTACAAAGCACACTTCCTCGACACACCACGAAACGCCTTCCTTGCAAGCTCACGATAGCATCATCAAAGACGGGACGACCCGAGACAACTCAAGATCAATTTTAATATCGACCAATCGCTGATTGTTTCAGAATCTAGCAGCCAATAACCGTCGATATGTAGAGTAACCTACCGTCATCTAAATAGGCAAAGCTGGAAGCTCTTTTTCAGCTTTGCCTAAATATCGCCAAGAGCGAGCATTAAGTAATCGACTTTTGACGCAAAGCTCTGGAAGGCTCGATTTCAGGTGGTCCGTGCGCAGCCTTCAGGGACAACCACCCACCTAACCACAATGAGAAGTGGGAGGCTGCCACAATTTTTTGGAGCTTGCTGCTGGCTGGTGATAGACTGGACACCTCCCACTTGGCTCAACCACGACACGGCGAGTACTCCTATCCTTCGACCTCGCCCCAGGATCTCCGAATCCCTTTTTCCGACCTTGCCCAGTGCCATTATTGTGTTGGTACACTTCAGAATACCGTCATAATGTCGTTCGGCGGCCACACACCGACGATCATCGTCCTGAAAGAAGGTTCGCTACCCCACCGTTGCCTGCGTTTTGTGCCCCAACGGCCACTGACGAGTTTATATATTAGGAACCGACACTTCTCAGGGCAAGGGCCAGATTGTCTCTAATATTAATGCCTGTCTGGCTGTTCAGGCCACTATCCGATCGACTCTCGGTCCCTATGGCGGTGATCTGTTGATGGTGGATGAGAACGGCAAGCAGACGATTACCAACGATGGTGCTACTGTCATGAAGGTATGAGCCCGGAAGCACCTCCTCCGGGTATAAGACACGTCGTTAACCATGGAAATTTAGCTCCTCGACATTGTTCACCCCGCTGCCCGCATTCTCGTCGATATTGCCCGATCCCAAGATGCTGAAGTCGGTGACGGCACTACCTCTGTCGTGGTGCTCGCCGGCGAGATCCTCAAGGAAGTCAAGGAGCACGTTGAGCAGGGTATCAGCTCACAGATCATTATCAAGGGCCTGAGAAGAGCATCGCGGATGGCGGTCAACAAGATCAAGGAAATCGCCGTTAGCACAAACGAGGGCAACCGCCGCGAGACCCTGAGCAAGCTCGCCGCAACTGCCATGACCAGCAAGCTCATCAAGAGAAACACTGAGTTCTTCACCAAGAGTGAGTTCATATAATTTGGAACCGTATTTTCCATCCCAGGATACTAATTTGTGTTTGACAGTGGTTGTCGATGCCGTGCTATCCCTCGACCAGGACGATTTGAACGAAAAGTTGATCGGTATCAAGAAGATCCCTGGTGGATCTCTCACCGACTCCCGATTCGTCAACGGTGTTGCCTTCAAGAAGACATTCTCCTACGCCGGTTTCGAGCAGCAGCCCAAGTCATTCAAGAGCCCCAAGATTGTCTGCCTAAACGTCGAGTTGGAGCTGAAGGCCGAGAAAGACAACGCCGAGGTTCGTGTGGAGCAAGTATCAGAGTACCAGGCTATTGTGGATGCGGAGTGGCAGATCATCTACAAGAAGCTCGAGGCCATCTACGCAACAGGCGCCAAGGTAGTGCTCAGCAAACTGCCCATTGGCGATCTGGCTACACAATATTTCGCTGACAGAGATGTATTCTGTGCCGGCCGAGTCACAAGCGAGGATATCGAGCGTGTAGTGCAGGCTACTGGCGCAGTGACTCAGTCAACATGTTCCGACATCCTTCCCGAGCACCTTGGAACATGCGGTACCTTCGAGGAGCGCCAGATTGGTGGCGAGCGCTTCAACTTCTTCGAGGACTGCCCCGAAGCTAAGACTTGCACTCTGATTCTACGTGGTGGAGCTGAGCAGTTCATCGCCGAGGTTGAGCGATCGCTCCACGATGCTATCATGATTGTCAAGAGGGCGATCCGCAACCACACGATTGTCGGAGGAGGCGGTGCTACTGAGATGGAGATCTCCAGCTATCTCCACCGCTATGCCGACGAGAACATCACTCGCAAGGAACAGGCCATCTTCAAGTCTTTTGCTCGTGCACTAGAAGTCATCCCTCGCCAGCTGTGCGACAATGCTGGTTTTGACTCTACAGACATCCTCAACAAGCTCCGTGTGGAACACCGAAAGGGCAAGACTTGGGCTGGTGTCGATTTCCAGAATGAGGGCGTTACGGATATGATGGAGCGATTCGTGTGGGAGCCTGCCCTAGTCAAGATAAACGCTATCCAAGCCGCCGTCGAGGCAAGTTGTTTGATCCTTGGAGTTGACGAGACCATCCGAAACGAAGAGAGCCAGAAGCCCCAGGCACCCGGCCAGCTGCCCCCAGGCGCTGCCCAGCGAGCACTGAGGGGCAGAGGACGAGGAATGCCTCGTCGGTAAATGCATCCAAAATCAAAAAGTTAATGGGGTGACGGATCACGGGGGTGTTCAAGGTCTGTATGATACCTAGGGAGGATCTCTCATAGACTGAATGGGCCCGAGTCATCTGGGTAATTGGGATGAATATTTGCTTGCTATACGTGAATATATTACGATGAATGGAAAGGTCTTTGAATAGAAGCCGTTGCCCACTGACATGAGATTCTCCCTTAATTACCTGCCCACTACGTACCATGTAGGCATTTGTTGAATACTTCCGTAATAAGGTACATCTATCATGGGTAAGGGGTCGCATTTGGACGTCGATGCCGTCAGATTTCTCAATTTGGAGGCGGGGCTGTCAGATTGGTGATGTGCACAGACAGTACACAGGGGTTGATAGCATCCAGGGGAATATAAAGGGTGCATGTCGGCATGGCGGGGCGTCACTCTCTTTTGCTCTTAGGCACGAGGGTGGGGAGATGCTAGGAGAATTGCACCGGCCGGGTAACTGAGCCTCACAGACATGCGATTTGGCAATTGTTCCGTGCGTATCAGGGTCTGAATCGGATGAGACAACGGTCTGGCCTGGCCGCTGATCGAAATGCAGCCCGTCAGTGACAAAATGCCCCCAAAATGCAACCGCACCAGCGCGCTACCCTAATGCGGCATCAACGGCCTTGGCTGGTGGCCACTTACAGCCTCGTATCACGGCTTGCACGGCTAGATTTGGGAACTAGCGACATGTAATGAAAAGGGGTCCCCATAATTACATGTTGGTAGGTAGTCAGATAGTCAGGGTCAATTAAATAAGAGAGGCGGCTGGACTCGAGGAGGGGTCCTCTGCTTGTCCCGCGCCTGGCATTTGATCAGTTGAGCAATGCGCCAGTGAAGATCCATTCACACGCACCTCCGAGCTGAGGCACTTGCTATGGGCGTAGGCCCGCGACACTCCTTTGCTTATAATTCATGTATCACTATTCTTCTTCATTCTCTGGATTTAATAATACATAATATTTAGAGACGCAAGCCCAGCAAGCATCACCATGATCTGCGGCGCACGGCGCTCAACGATCCTCTTGGGAGGCATCGTCCTGTTCTTCCTCGTGGTGTTTTTAAACGTAAGTGCGATAATGCAAGGCGCTGCCTCAGATTTACATTCCCATGACGGGTGCTGACAGGGATCGCATGTAGCGCAATGGCCTCTCCGACCATGTTCCTCAGCTGTCAACGCAACAGCACTTGTCCCCCAGCGATCGACTCAACATCACCACCTCGAGACCGGAGGACCTAAAGAAGGTCCAGCTCCTCCTGCCAGCGGCCAGCGGCCAGGAGAGCCTCTGCAAGACTTTGCTGACCGCCGCTGTTCTGGGCTACCCGATTCCGACTCTTGTTGCGTACAACAGGACTTACACACAACGTATGTCTCACATCTCCATCATGCGCCCAGCGCATTGGCGGGCTGGGGGAGATTGGTTCAGGAAAGACCATTGTCGCTAACATCTGTTGTTCTGCCGTGTTCTAGCGAATCTTGTCGGTGGAGGTCGTCATGTCGCCAAAATCGAGGCCATCTCGACTTATCTGGAGAATATACCCAAGTCCAAGGACAGCGATCTGGTCATCATAGTCGACGCATATGGAGGCTTCAACTACCAGTTCAACTCTGAAGATATTGAATCCCACATGGTGGGAGACGCATGGTTTCAGCTACCACTAGAAGTTTTGGTAGATCGCTATCGCGCCGTCATGGACAGGGCCAACAAGGATTTGGAAATCAGCATGGGCAAAGCGTACCGAGCTGCGGCCGTCAACCAGACTATCCTCTTTGGATCAAGCAAGAGGTGAGAAGTAGCCATGAGTTGGGAGGGGGGTATGAATCAAGAACCGCTAAACTAACATTCCAACAGATGTACTCCCAACAATGTCCAAAGTTCGGCTTGCTATCCAGTCCCCGAATCACCTCTATCTCCCAAGCTCTACGGCAAGTACACGGATGCGCCATCTCTCGAAGTCGGCCAGGGCGATTACGACACCTATCGCCAACGCTTCCTCAACTCGGGGTTCATCGTCGGCCCCGTCCGCGACCTGCGCCCTCTCTTCCGCCGGGCGCAGAGGAAAGCGTCAGACCAGATCAGGCTCTCCCAGACCAGCGACGACGGCTCCTCAACCATCAACAAGCTCCACGTCGGGTCCGACCAGGCCATCTTCTCCGCCATCCTGGGCGAGCAGGAGTTCCAGCGCGAGGCGATGCGCCGCAAGTACGGCGAGCGACCGCGCCCCAAGAGCCGCATCGTCAACGTCCCCATCGAGGACATCCTCGACCCCAGCTTCCCCCACGAGGTCCTCCAGCCCAAGGGCGACAAGTCGGGCGAGTTCGGCATCGTCGTCGACTACTGGTCCGACCTTGAGATGCAGACGGCCGACAACGCCGAGGACGGCCGCTGGCTCCTCCACAACCAGCCCGTCCAGGAGCAGCTGCTCGCCTTCCCCCGCCAGCCCTGGAGCTGCGTCCCGCAGGTCTCCAACGACCTGCCCCCCGAGCTCGTCAACAGCACGAGCATCCCGCGGGCCGCCATCTCCGAGTCCTCCCAGTTCAGCCCCACGCACGGCTGGGACGAGGTCCCGCTCTACACCAACGTCTGCCTGGGCACGATCCCCGTGGTGGTGAACCACAACGGCGACCCGAGGCAGCGGCAGCGCGACTGGCCCCAGATGTGGATGCAGCCGCACGGGCGGCGTCTGATCGAGGAGATCATCGCGCGGGGCGAGGGCGGCAAGGAGGAGAGGGGAGGGGCGTACCACGGCAAGTATCAGAAATGGGTGAAGCTCTGCCCCTCCACGCTCGAGAATGAGCTGTACCGGGAGGAGAGCTACAGCAACGAGATGGTGTAGAATTAACTGCTTATGCTTTAGATGATTTGGAGTTTGGGGTTTCTTCATATGCGGCATTGTATTTTCCAGATGGGTTCAAGGTAGAATCACGCTTCTCTTCTTCTTTTTCTTGTTGTTATGACATAGGTTTCACAGCAGAGAATGCTGTCTGGTATTTTCGCTTCTAAGTATATATACAATCATAGATATCAAAGGTATATAAATTTGAACATGTATATGCCCCTGACAGCAGAATGGAAATCAAGGCCTTCTGTTATTTGACTTGACGAAACGAAGGGAGATTTTGTCTTTATTTGAACATCGAGAAAAAAACATCTATATCTTTCCAACATTTGCAACATGTTTTTATTATCCAGGACAATATTGGGCAAAAGCAGGAGCACGCAGTTGCATCGCCGAGCCGCTTGCGAGCAAGAGATGGACCCAACCACCAAACTGGGAAAGACTCGAACACCGAAGAATGCTGCATCTGCAACATGCTACACTATAGCACAACCCTCTTGTCTTTTTCAACTGAATTTCCCAGTCCTCCCATAGGGTCATCATCGTCATCATCGCCATGTTGTATCAGCATCTCCAGATCTCGGTCCACGGCAGATGCGTCGGCATCCTGCTCTGACACATCTACATCATCCCCGGTTGCGTTTAACAGGGCCTGGAAATCCTGGGCCTGGTAACTATCGAACGGGTTGTCATGGTGATGGCTGTGGTGGTGATTGATCATCTGTGAGTCCGCAGGGGGGTCAGAGTAGTGATGGTCTTGTAGCATTGGGTTGTGGTGGAAAGTGTGAGATGGTGTAACGGTCGAGATGTCATTGGGGTTCGCGTAGCCGCCAGAACCCGGGTGAGGGTCGGGATGAGAAAGCGTCGGCATCATTGCATGAGGATGTCCCAGAAGGGTGGTGTTCCCAGGAGTTTCCTGCGGAGGAACATGGTCATCCGCACCTCCACCGAGCGTCACTGCTGCGGCAACTGGGGGGTTCATGTTGCTGTTATTGGTAAAAGCACCTCTCTTCCCGCTGCCGGAATTAGGCGATTTACCCAGATCCTTGCACTCGGGACAGTTTCGTATCACATCACTGACCGTTTCTTTGATTCTACTCCAGTGATACTTCTCCGCGATTGTCGCGGTGGTCTTATTGATTCCGGCGTGCTGCTCTGTATGAACATTTCTTGAGATCTCATACTGCTGGGCGGGGTCCGAGATGACCTCCTTGTCCTTGAGCATCAGCTTGTCGTCGTCCAGGAGCTTATAATGCGTCGCTGCGCTGCGCAGCCTGCTCTTTTCGGCGCGATCGGCGCCGTCCGGATACTTCCCGTACTTAAGGTAGAATTTGATCTTGTCAAAGCGTTCTTCACTAACTAGTTCCTCTGCCTCTACGGGCGTCAGGTCTCGGCCGTAGATGATGGCGTCAATGAAGCGATCTGGGTGAGATTTGAGGTTCCCGCAACCTTTGACGCGGCCGATCCTTTTGAAGCCAAGGCCATCCCATATGCGACAAGAGGCCACGTTGGTCTCATAGACCAGATTGAAGACGCTATATGTGTAGCCTAATCGCGGAGCCCAGTCAAGATACGTCTCTCCCATAAGTCGGCCTACGCCACGGCCTCGCGAGGCATCAGTCACGAGAAAGCCACCATTGCAGACATGACTGCTTCTTCCCGGGTAGTTGGGTTTGATGTAGAAGCTCCCCAGGCATTCCTTGCCCCAATCCTTCCCCTCTACCACGGCCTGGGGGCCGTCGATATTTCCCAATAGCATGACGGCACCGAAGTTTTGAAACCAGTATTTCGCGAAATCCTCCGGATCGAAGAGATCCAGCATCGGGTATGTATCGCCACCCTCGATCTCCTTATTCAGCTGCTCGCACAAGTATACAAGCAGCGTAGCAGGGAGTTGGTGACATGACGCAAAGGGGACGATGGTAGCCACTGTCTGGCGGTCTCGAAGAGTCACGGTCCGTGGAATTATATCCAGGGGGAGTGACGGAGGGATATCAGGGCCGGGGAATGGGGGAGCCCCAGATCTTCGGTAGAGGGGAGGACTGGTCGGGTCCTCCAGCATTGCTGGCATCGCGGCTGAAGGAGTGATCCCGATCTCGGTTCTCGACTCTCTTCTCTCTTTGGTTGGGGGTGTGCGATCCTTGTTCTGTTATCTACCTTACTGAGGTTTCAAGTCAGACAAACTCGAGCCCAATAGGATTTTCCTCGGAAAAGCCAGAGTGCTTGCGCCGCTGCCTACAACTTTCCCAGCGTCGCCAACGATGCTCAGGGCAATATCTGACCCCTCCCCCACTAAAGGTCTGCTTACCGCCCGCAAAGGTCGAGAAGGAAGGCTAGTTTAGTAATTTGACAATCGCATGGGGCTCTATCCGGGGTGTACTGGTCGCCGCATTGAGAATTGGGCAGATCGCTAGGTGTGTCGCTGGGAGGAAGACAGTGTAGCGCAAGAGAGAAACCGTTTGACTGGAAAGTTCAGGCCGTGGGTGCATGGTCTTGCCGACAGGTGAATAGTGGGGCCAAAGTTGGCAGCTACCCTTTACCCCACGTCGTTCGTCCATTTTTCAGCCGATATACGGCTTAAGGTGCTTGTATGTCAAGCAGCTTATAGTGAAAAGGTTTCCTCATATCTGAGATTCATTCAAACATTTGTTTGAGAACCCAAGATATGGTCTAGTCTTTGCAAGCGCTAACGAGTGAAGAATACATAACGTTGGGTCTGTAGGATTCGCTGAAATGTACATGTCTGACTGATGGCTTTTCCTAATTTACATATCCGCATATTATACATATACAACACTGCTCTTAGTTGTTTAGCCCCTTAAGCTCAGCCTCAACTTCCTCTGCCTTAGCTTTCGCGCTTGCAAGCTGGGCTTCGATTTCCCCCAAGTTGGGGGTAGATGTGGCAGGTTCTGAAACTCCCTCCGCAGTAGCGGTCTCTCCAAGTGATTCGAGCATCGCGGCCTCGCTGCTGTCTAGCTCCGCCCTGGCATACTGGGACTGAAGAATGTCCTGTTCTTCCTCGGTAAATCCTACGACGTTGTCTTTCGCGCGACTCAGAGCCAGCCGCTGCTCCTTCTGGACACTTCGTCGATGTTTGGCCATGAAGTCGTTCAGAGTGGGGGATGTCTCCCAAGGGATGGTCTCCTTCTTCTCCGAGGCGAGTTTACGAAGCTCCTGTCCCCGCTCACCAGCACGACCCAGAACACCGGCTATCACACCAATAGACCGCAAACTAAAGGCAAAAATTAGTACAATGGATAGTTTGGAGGAGAAAAGACAAGCCACAACTCACCTGTCATCATTGGCGGGAATAGTGTAGGTAACCCAAGTTGGATCAGCATCAGTATCAATAACACCGATTGTAGGAATGTCTTTCAGCCCGCATTCATAGAGGAGAGTGTAGTTTTCCTTAGGATTCAAGCAAACCACCAAATCAGGCAAAAGAGGTCGGGCATTTTCCGTGAAGACCCCGAAATCCTCCAATGGTTGGTCTTTTTCATCCACAACCTTAGTTGTGGCGTACTTCAAAATGGCATCTCGGTTCGTAATGCCACCGGGGGTCCACTTGGTAAAGACATGGCATGCACCCGCCAACTCGGAAGCCTTGGTAACAATTTCCATCTGTCCCTTTCGAGTTCCAACGAAGAGGATAAGGCCACCACATCTTGCCACCTCTTCCACAACACGTGCAGCACGTCGAAGGTGGGCAGCAGTGGTCTCCAGAGATATGATATGAATACCCTCACGCACACCGTAGATATATCGAGAGTTTCCGGGATTCCAGAGAGATGTATGATGACCCATGTGTGTTTGCGACGCCATAAGAAGTTCAAGAGTCACATCTTGTGGTCTGGGCGGGTCGTTGATGAGGTCGGTTGGGTTGTACTGCCGTTTTACTACCGACCCCAGCTTCTTGGTCTTGGACCGGATTTTTCGAAACTCGACCCATTGATCCCAGGGCGTAAGCTCCTCGGAACCCCCAATCTTACGAGACCTTGTCCACGACTGACCCTCGTGTGTGGGCGTCGAGTTAGAACCTAGGGTCATGATAGTCTCCTTGGCCTTCTGCATCTTTAACTGCTTTGACGACATCGCAAGAGAATTGTCCTTTATGTGAGCAGCGGGCAATTGAGCCTGGGGCGGCGGCGTGGCAACAGCAGGCTCGGTTGGTACGCTCTCCGATGAGAGTTGTCGCAGGGTTGATCGTGGAATGGAGCTCGCCAGCGCGCGGCGGCCTAATGACTCAATTAACAACATGATCGATAGAAACATACATGTATACAAACTTACCATGCCGCGCTGCAGCGTTTCTTACTATCATGGTGGTGCGATTGATGCTGGCTGCTGTTGTATGATGCATCGGGGGAGAAATTTGAGAGAACCCATTGGCGAAGTGGAGCCCACCTTTTTCCGGGCCGGCGGTTTACAAAACGAACCACAAAGCTCACAGAGCTTCATGACTTAGACGTCTTGTAAACTTTTCGAATTGGGGTTTGGCTACGTCTTGCACACCAATCATGGAATTTTACTCGTTTGGTGAACTGAAAGAGCGCTTTTTTGGAATTGCTATAAGAAAACTATTTACAAATACGAATAATTAGACCCGGCCATTCTACGCACTTGCAGCGCCCAATGAGAGATGGCTCATTCATTAAGTAGCTACTATACATAACACCACTTATCGGGACGTAATCCTGGAGATGGTGAAGACACCAACTATGACAGCTGCTAAAGTGACGATAGCACCGGGAAGGAGGAGCTCGTTTGGAACCCCTGCAATGACCTGGTCTTGTAAAGGATCGTTTCTTGCTCTTCGCCGGCGGTGAATTGTGGATGCCTCATCGTCGTAATCTTCATCGTCATCATCATCGTCCACGTATATTTTACTACGGCGTTCACGGATACCGACTGCAGAGGATGCAGGCGGTGTTGGGATGGCGTTCTCATGAAGAGATGTAGCCAATGGAACAACTGGTTGCTTGTCAGGATGATGGACAAAGAGGTCAACCTTGTCTCGGTGTCCTTGACGGGCCAGCAGAATGGCCTCTAGCAGGTCGTTGTCAGTTGTGATCGAAACGGTATCGCCATCACTGTCGGCGTAGCTGAGAGCAAAACCTTCCCCGTCTAGCTTGCCTTCTTCGACTGTTGGGACACCGCCGATGCCCTCAACCTCGTTGCCGAGCTTGGCAGCCACTGCAGCTACAAGTTCCTCGATTCCATGGGAAGCAATGACCTGTAGACGGTGGACACGCCCAGAAGGAGCTTTGAATTTGAAAGGAAAGGGGATTTCGCCTGGGTAATGTTCTGGGACATCAGGAAGAGCAGATCGAATCGGCGACTCCATTCCGACATGAGAAGCAGAATCTCCTGGTGCAACACTATCCCGATTCATATCAGGCGACATCATTCGTGAGCCAAGGTTAGTACCATGACGGTGGCTTTGGCTTCCATCACCGGATACCATGGACTCCGTCTCATTGTCCATGGACAACCAGAACTTATTCCATGCAGGGCCCTCACCGTCACCAGTGGCCATGGTGTTAATCTGTTCCAAAGTAGCGTAGGTCAACTTCAACACATCAACCATGCCAACAATCTCGCCGCCATCGTTCATCACGGGAAGATTGAGGTAGTGGCCATCTACCAGAGTAGGTTAGTATTTGAGACTAGAAAGTTCAATCACAAGGTATGCTCACCATGCATCTTTCGAAGGGCAGCCTGAATTGTCATGTCCATAGGAGCAAAGTCGGGATGAGGGGTCATCACACGGACCACGCTACAGTTCGTAGGGTCAAGGCCAGGGGCGATGACCCTTAGGACAACGTCTTTGCTGGTAAAAATGCCAGTAATAGCACCTTGATCCTGCACTAATACTGCAGTTGTGTGATTCTCCCTCATCAAAGCCGCCGCGTCCTTAACAGATGTCCTGACGCTCACAGTAGTGGGTGGCGTGCCGTCCAGAACGGACTCGAGAGTAGGACCTGACATCTTGGTACGAAGAGCTTCGACATATTGAATAATCTGCTGAGGCTGGCTGGCGCCAAGCTCGGATTGCACACCCTCCAAAGCGTCGTAAAGTTTGCGGGACGAAGAGTAGGCACGCTCCAGCTTCTCCATGGCATCGTAAAAGCACTTGGTGATATCCAGAATACCAGAAATATCTTGATTTTCGTCCATGACTGGTAAATGACGGAATCCCTTGCGAACCATGAGGTCCAACGCATCGGTAGCACTCGTGTCGGTTCGTGCGCAGAGAGGGTTCTTGGTCATGATGTCGGCAATGGTGACGTTGGCGGCCTTGGAACCGGAACCGACAACCCTGAAAGCCAGGTCCTTGGCCGTAAAGATACCAGCGATGCGATCATCCTCGTCTGTAACAAGAACGCAGTCCTCACGCTTTGCGGCCATAAGCTGAGCTGCCTCAGATACCGTGGTGTTAGGTTTGATCTGCAGGGCAGGGCTGGGCTTCAGAGCGAGGACAGTGCCGGGGGGCGCTTTCCGGGTGTGGCGAGCCCGTGTGTTGAGATGCTTCTTTTTGGAGAGATCATTTTCCAGCTTTCGGCGAATAGCCTGGTTCAAGGTATGGTTAGCTACAGTGCTTGGTGGCAAGCCAATTGCATTTTTGGGTGAGGCATCATCTGGAGAGAGGGGGAGGGGAATATATGTTTGGGTGGAGTTCTCGCTCAGGCACTATTTACTACGCACCTCATCTCTTTTCGATTGCTTCTGCCTGCTTGCGCTGACAGAAGATGTGACTTCGGCGGGCTTCTCTTCCGCAACAGGACGAGGGATGCCTGATCCGCCAGGGCTATTTTGAAAAGGCATCTGGCCTCGTCGGTCGCGATTGGGGGTGCCTCGCATAGTGCCCCCGGCGGCATTGCCTGAAGACATTTTTGCGGTGTAGAAATCGTCGGGCAGAAACACCAAGGGAAGGCCAAGCTAAGGGAGCAAGCTTGGGCTGACGATGAACCAGCCAAATCTTGAAAACCTGGAGAAGTAGGAAAAGGAAGCCCAAGTGAAAAACGACGCAGCCAATAGGCAAGTGCACAGAGGCAGGTTTGTCTTAAAGCAGAGCGGACCCCGGTGCAGAGGAGGGAGGGCAGTTCAGATGGAGCTGCTGGTCGGCAGATATCGCGTTGATTGCACCCGACACCACCTGCTGGGTCATTTTGTTTGCCGGCCGCTGGTTGGTCAGACGCCGCCGAGGAGACCTGCGCACTGACCACGCGCCGGAGCAGCATCACCCAACAACCACTGAAGATCAGGTCATTCAGACGTTCTGGCGAGCAACATACGAATTCCTCCGAGATAATAATAGGAAACGGGAGCCCGTAAGATCAAGTGGCAAGGACTGGGCTGAGCGCGACGAAAAAGATTTGATGTGCAAGCGCACGCACGAGGCACGATCCCGGATCGGCCATCATCAGACGAAGAGCCCGGTCCTCTTACCGGCTGCGACCTACCCACGCACGCCTTTGGATCCACCGACGTCGCTGAAGCTATTCCCCGATCGACTCGAGCTTGGGGCTTGGGTAAGGTAGGCAGGGCTGGCTGCATTAACACATTTTTTTTTTATCTTTTCTGACAATTATTAAAGGCAGCACGTGAACGCAACACAGACTGGCGCATATCTTGTCAAACAGTCAAGTAACCGCTGACCTCGGGATTTCTACCCAATGAACGCACAGCGTTGAGGGATGCTACCGATTTCAGACATTGGAGGTGCATACTGTCTGCAGCCAAGAATGCCGTTTGTTTTGTTTGCAGAATGTTGCTGCAGTTTCCGCCGCCACCGTTTTGAACGGCGGCGAAAAGGTCGCTTGTGGCGTCCGTCGGTTGTCCCGCCAGAAACGCAATGAAACAAAACGTCATGCGCACGGATCCAATGACCCGACGGCACATTCATCAATGTAAGCTCGTACGTCGGATGCAAACCTGCACAAAAATTCAAAACACCAGAAACGAGTAGTTTGCTCATTATTACGTCTGCCGTGTGTCTGAACTGCGGAACCCGGCAGGATATGAAACCTAAACTCATTTGCTACACATGCAGCGCAGGTCCCAGATCGGGTTCCCAATGTTTGCCGCTTGGAACGGCGATTCGAAGACGACATGTGATCATCTATACGTCGAATCAGCTTTGTACGTGTACTGGGGCCGAGTGAAGAAGCCGTGGTGTCGACGGCATCAGCAATGTCATTAGCCCAGTCTCCCATGTGATGACCTTGCAGCTTCAGCGGCGGACCGGCGGTGCTGGTCCAACCATAGCGGTTTGAGACAGCTATGACCAGGTCGAGACAGCCAAACTCAATTAAATGTCTTGCCATACAAGGCAAGTCGGCCAGGGGTGACGTTGTTGAGTGGTGCGATCCCTTGTCGCCTAGCCGCCAGCTCCGTTGCTGTGGCGACGGCGTCAACAATGCGCCAGACCTGAATGCCTTGGCCTCTTGGGCCAAAAGGGTCTGCATCTCGAATCCACACTCGCGAACGAACTTCTCTGATAGCTATTTCCGGCGTCTTCAAGAGAGTATCGCACCTTAGCATTTGATTCCCGTCCATCGGGGACAAAGAACGTTGAGAGACTAAGAGCTTTCCAACCATCACAACCATCCCGCCTGAATAAGGCACATACCATATCTAGAGGTCACCATCGCAGTCACTGCCGACTGAGCACGACCGCAATCCCTTTTTAGCCCGGCGCCCTGTGCTTGCGCTGCGTGAGGTAAGAGGCGTGATGCTTTGTCGCCTGGATGCTCTGGACAGCTGCAGCTAACAGACAATGCGATTGCAGTTTCGGACCTACAGGTTCCCATCGACAACAATTCGACCGACGACAACGACAACCGGACTCCCTTGCGACAAAATGCTGTCCAATTCACCAACAAAACCTCACGCTGGGCAGAGGCAACACCACCGCCGCCAGAACTCGACACCCTCTGCCCCTTTCGACAACGTGAAGGTCCCGACCCTGCAGAGTGCCGCCCAACGTAGAGCAGCCGGCCACCGCCGTGGCATGAGCCTCGACATTAGGAGACAACATGCGGCATCAGCTAACATCAGACAGGATTACGTGGTAAGTACACATACTAACAATACAGGACTTGCAAATATTCCGCAGCATCATGTACTGCGAGAAGCGCAGCAGCAACGCATTCAAGCACGCCCGGGCCCCCAGCACAACCTCTACTCTCACCCCCAATTACCTCACAGCAGCAGTGACAGCTATTTGGTGTCTCCCCATGGCACTCCCCATGCTCAAAGATTCGATCCATCATGCCTCGACCCTGGATCAATTCCATTTGACCCCTACGGTGAGCATATGCAGACATTCATGCAGAACCAAGCTAGCTTTGGCCAAAACACGAATGTATCGAAAGACTTTGAGTTTTTTACCACAGATAGTGCTCTCTCTACACCCACATTCATGAACTTCGCAGAGAGTCCTTCCGCACCCGGCTGGATCTCCGAGGGCGAGACCTCAAGCACAAGAAGGTCCTCTCGAAGAATCAGCAACGGTATCATGGACCGTGTCTCTAAGTTCGAGAATCTGGGCCTGGACAACGTATCAAGACCAATTACACCCCCACACGCAGACGCAAATAGTGAGTCTCCTTCTGATGCCGATACCTAAAGAGAAGCAGCTCTAACCTTCGAAGATTATTTCCCCCCAACCCCTACTGATACTCCACATGACCGTATGTGCAAGCAAGAGCCTGTACCCAACCGGTTCACCGAAGGCTATGATGAGTCTTTGGAAGAGACTATCAAGCCAGTCAGGGCTCGTTCCAACCTTGGAGCACAATCCATCTTTCAAGATATGCGACAAGAAGCAGAACAGCAACCTGAACAGCCAAGTTCTGCCAAGTCCGCCTCATTTCCAGTCTCTCAGATGCAGGGCCCCATCTACCCGACCAATGAATTCAGCGAGGAAGAGTTCCTGAATATGCAAGCTTCCTTTGATGGACTCGTCTCCGGTCCCATTATTGGTGGTCAGCAATCCGTCCACAGCTCCACGCCCAGCACTCCTCACAGAGCTCAGTTCTCAGCTTCTTTTGAGAACAGTGCTCAACTCAGCTCCCTCCAAAGCACTCCCCATTCAGCTGCCCATTCTCAGTCGCCAGTTCACCGTAATTCGAGCCATCGACGAACTGAGTCTCTTGCAAGCATTGCCAGCGCTGCTAGCATCGCAAGCATCAACATTGAAGAGACCAAGACCGAGACCGGAGTGACAGTTGATGACATTGCTCTGTACATCTCCGGACCCGATTTAAACGACGGCAAATGGACCTGCGTATATGAGGGCTGTGGCAAGAAGTTCGGCCGCAAGGAGAATATCAAGTCTCACGTTCAGACTCATCTGAACGATCGCCAGTATCAATGCCCTACGTGTAAGAAATGCTTCGTTCGCCAACACGACTTGAAGCGCCATGCCAAGATACATACTGGAATCAAGCCATATCCCTGCGAGTGTGGAAACAGCTTTGCCAGACACGACGCCTTGACTAGGCATAGGCAGCGGGGCATGTGCATTGGTGCTTTCGATGGTATTGTCAGGAAGGTGGTAAAGCGTGGTCGACCAAAGAAGAACCGTCCGGACATGGAAGAAAGGACCACCAAGTCGGCAAGACAAAGAAGGAAGAACCTGTCTGTGAGCTCTGTCTCCTCGCAATCGGGATATACGGACAGCTCAGCAGCCAATTCTCCGGACAATGATCTGGATATGCTTGATGATATGCTCGACCTGGGAATCGATTCACAACCTCAACAAATGGCCTTGAGCTCATCAGCACTCATGCCTTCGGTGACAAGCCAAATACCCAATGACGTGATGCCGTCTCCTTCTGTTGACACGCCTCACTCCTACGTTTCACCAGAAGCCATCATGGAAAAGATCCATTCCCGCGCAGTATCACCATCCAAGAGTGTTGCCAGCACCTATAATACTCCTCCCGAGCTCTCGCAGTCATCATCACCCCCTCCTGCACGTTTGTGCGATTTCGAAGCTAACGTATCATGCGGCGCTGATGACGTTGCTGCCTTGACGGCGAGCAGCAGCATTTTGAGTTCGGCAAGCCTTGATGGCACGCTTCCCCTGCCGTTTGGCGACCAAGATTCGAACATTCTTTTGTCGTTTAGCAACGATGAAGGAATTGTCCCTCTGGACCGGGATCCAAACATGATGATGCTCAGCAAGTTTGACGACGAGTTTGGCAGCACGAGCGATATGTTTGTTGACAACGACGACCTTTTCTTCGGGACCTCATGAGCGATCACAGCACGGCAACCTTGCTAACAATATTACACCGACTTAATTTGGATTAATTAGAGCTTGCTACCTGGGCTTGGATATCTTTTTTTCTTTCTCTTCTTGGGCAAAGGAGTCTCACGTTACGACACTTATGTCTGATCATCTGGTTGAATTTTTTTTGTTCTCGGCCATAATTTTTGCGGCGTCAGGCCTTGATTGAAAACGGACACAGCGGTTATTTTTTCTTCTGGCGACAAATTTGTTTGTATAGTATCAACTGGAAAAAAGGGGAAACAGTTATTTGCGGTTTTGCGTGTTTTGGGAATAGACGGGAATTACAAAGGACCCCGTCTCATCAGAATGTTCTCGATGCTGGTGGTCACTTTCTGAATTTTATGGGAAAGCAAAGGCGTGGCGTAGCAGCCGAGAAGGAGGAGAGTCGCGAGCTTCAATGTCTTTTTCACTCTCCCCTCGCGCGGGCAGCTGGAGTTTTGATTGAGTCTTTGCTTTTTATAGAGAATATGAACCACCTTTCATCAATTGATACGGAAAACATTGAGTGACGTGAACGAGTATGAAATGTATCTTGATAAGATCCAGCCGGAGTGTCCGTATTGTGAAATCATCCCCGTGTGTCATTCAAACTTTCCTGTACGAGTGAGGAGGCAAGTACCTCAATACATGTCAAGTGTTCACGTAATGAAGAAACAGTAGGAGTGGAATTAGTGTATATGGAAAATGGTCTGTTCATAACCGTCCTTTACTTTATAATTTGATGTCTCATTCTCCTGTCAACCCGCAAGTGTTGGGGGACTCACTCACTGTGGCTGCACTGTATGTGGTGCGCTGTATCTCACCGCCTTGCGCCTGCCCATCCCACTAAGGCCTACTTGCCTGAGCTCTGTCCCAATGAGGCACCTGGAGTTTGAAACAAACTGTTGGGCGTCTATTATCTTTCACTTTTCTTTTGCCATCTGCCCTTGAGAATTTTCAACGATGAACCACTAGAAAGCAGCATCAATCAATTGACACAGCCGACGAGAAAATGTTGACACCAACAGTCGCCAACCATTTCAGCTTTTTCCATGCTGTTGGAAACACCCCCGCCATCAACTTGACGAGGTCGGTCCCTCACGGCCAGGATGTCTCGGCCTTGTCTCTTGGCTGTGGCGACCTAAGGAATCTTCTGTATACTGCATATATTGAAGATGGACTGCGTGAGTACTTTACTGATGGATCAAACTGTTGATAATCCAAAGTTAATACAATTTCCAGCTGAGAGGAACTTGGACTTCACTTTCTGCGACATTGATGAGAAGATAATAGGTTTGTGAACGATGGTTCATGTTCTCCATCTATGGTTCTTTTTCTCACACAGCCTTAGGGAGAAACATTATACTCCTTTCGTTCATTATCGACGGGCACGAAGGACCTTTAAAATCGCTTTGGGGGATATACTATCACCTTTATGTCAACGATGCCACCGCGGCAGTGGTCAAGGACCAGGCCACCAAGCTCATCCATCTCCTAGAATCTACGGCCTCCTGGAACGCCAGTACATACGGTTCCGTGATTAGGTTTTGTGACCAGGACACCGTCGATGATGTCCGTGGTATTTGCAAGAGAATCTCCGAAGGAAACGGCAACTTGGAGAGTCTTTCAAATGGCATCGAACAATCCAAGTCTCTCCTGCTCCAGTCCTCTGGCCAAACTGGCGGCCATGGAATTATTCTTACCGGCATCCGCTCGGCTGCTCCCCTCTCACTGCAAGCATACAAAACGCTTCCAGAGGCTCATCAGAAATATTGGGAGGAGGGAACATCAGTGCCCAAACAGTCCGCGGAAAAAAGCCCCAACCCGATGTTTGCACCACTTCTTTCACGGAGAGGTGTTCTTCATTATGGTACAGACCCAGTCCAAGGATTTCATTTAGCAACCGCTTATGCAGCACTGGCCGATAACTCACCGCTAAACCCTAATGCTACTTCAGCCAAGGGACCAAAATACGCCGTTGCAGCCCAAATCCAATTCTCAAGTTGGGTTTCAGCGCTTCAGAAGTTGCTCAAAAGAGGGAAATTGACCCTTCGATTTGTCGTGTCCGATGTATATTCCTTCTGCCATACTCTTCAGTCCTCCGGGAAGTTGGGTACTCTATCCGCGAATTGTTTCCGACGCCAATGGGATGGCAGAACTCTAAAGCTTGACGAAAGAGATTATGGGAAGGCGAAGAAGGCACCTACTTGGTTTGACACGATTGACACTTCAAATCTGTCAGATCATTTTGGTGCTCTGAACATTCTCACAGCAACAGCCCCTTTGCTAAAGGATGAGCCTTGGTCTGCCGTTTCTACTGAACTCTTACTTAAACGGGAAGGCACTGAAGAGGAAGCATTTGACCAGCTTCTATGTGGCCCAGCAGCAACAATATCTCTCCTTCTTGGGCTGTCCGCTGTCCAGTATTGGACTAATTCAAAGGTAGAGTCTCACGTGGATGAGGTTTTTCTTGCTTTGTCGACAAATGAGAAGAGGCCTGGAGAGACTCAACACCGTGCTTGCATATTCTGGAAACAGGATGGACAATTTTCAGGTCACCCAGACGAGCGGGGTAGTCTTCAAATCGAAGCCAAACCTCTGGCGAATATCCTTCTGCACGTGTATAAGCAGATGTTCCGAGGAGAAGACAGTAAACGGGCAACCTTGAGATCGGCAGCCTATTCCAGCTTCCACAGGGGTAGCTTTGCTGTTTTCCTCAAATATCTTAAGTCCCGTGTGACCACTAATTGGAGTGAAATGCTGCAAAAGCTCATCGTCGATGTTGGTAACGACGAGTCGCTCGCACTCTCAAGCAACTTTCTCCAAGACTTTTGTTGTCAGCTTCACACGAACGATGTCGAAAGACATCAGTCTATCTTGATTAATCCTGCGACCATTCCGAAACTCCTGAGAATAAAAGGGTGGGACTATATCCCTCCGGTTGTTTCTGTGACGGTGGTGGTTCCGCGCACAGCTTTCGAAAAGCTCTTCTCAGGATCAAAACAGCTGCAAATAGCGTCACCAACCATTGTCGCCGAGCTGAAGTCATCAGAATGGCACAACCTGTATAGCGATGTTCACATTCTATTTGGTGACATTAAGTCAAGCGACCCAGATGAGAATAGCCTTGAGATAGAACAGGACGTTCTTGGTTGGGAAGGCTCGTCGCCCCTTATTGCTTCGTTCTACATCCCCACGGCATCATTTAACGCGGAAAAGGGAATACCCGTTGTTGGACTCTCTGTTTTACCCACTGGCCAGAACCCTTTGATTTATGGACCTATTCTTGGGCCAAGCATGTCGATCTTCGAAACCTCCTTAAAGAATGAGAAGACGGTGTTTATTTCTAGGTACTTGCCCGGACAAACGACTTACCCTGGGCATTGTGTCGGGGTAAGTCCACTTGGTAAAACCATTACTAGAAAGAATGGGGAGACAGGTGTGAGATTTGAGGCAAGTGTTCCTGCCTCAGAACCTCAAATTACATCCCTTGTTGGGCATCTTGACTTCTTAGGGGAAAGGGGTAAGAAGCTTCTGAAAGATAAAGCTCCCATTGAATTGAAACAAATGAGCCCCTTCTCCATAAGCATTGCTTTTGGTAACAGCAAGTCCGACATCTACCCTCTACATTTTCCTATACCTGTCTCTAAGGAAGGGGCCAAGACACGCATTGCGAGGACCTCAGGTTATGTCGAGATCATCGCTCCATTCGCGAGTCCATTGTCATCGGAATGTCTGGGGGACTTTGTCTTCCCTTCCTACCTTTCGTCGTCAAGAGTGCCGGCTGCTTTAAATATGCCACATACCAACCTTGACAAGCTTCCTATTCTCGATGTGGATAAAAAGAAGGAACTGTCATGGTTAACTACGCTGACATCCTTCCAATTCTCATCACGAGAAAGGCATATTCGTGATAGGCGGACTGGGACAGGCATTTCTTCTGACCCAAGGACAAATTTCAAGGACTCGCTTCTCACGATGTTTATGCTGGCATCTGGCCTTCAGGGAGGCCAAACAGGATTATTTACCATCAGCCACCCGGAGAGGGGTGGTAATCACATTCTTATGGTGGTGTCCGCAATCCGGCTGGACGGTGATACTGCCTCAGTGGTTCTTGACGCAGCCGTGATTCCACTCACCATGGATCTGATGAAGTCGCACCGGATCGAAGAATTCCTCCTGGTTCTCGAGAGACTGGAATGCTGCGCTGTTACGGTAGATGATGCAGAATTACATTTATGGAAGAAGGTCCTCCCGGCACTCGTCGAGCGATGCAGAACATGGTCTCATACCGCCAAGTGTGAGTATAAGAAGAAGGGGGCCACTATACCCCTGAGTCTTGAAGATGGTGAACAACTCTTGTGTTCTTGTGGTAATGGACAATTGCCCAAAAACTTCGTCAACATCCCGGAGTGGGATATTGCGGCCACGGAAGCAGTCCGTCTGGCAATCAGCCCGACTTTTGCTGCAGCTATCGTGGAGGAATTAGCCGATACGTCGACATTTGGCGAGAAAGGAGGGTCTTTCGCCACTCCTCAGGAGCGGTGTCGTTTCTGTGGCAAGACACAGCACAGCGACGGAAGCGCTTTGAAGAGATGTCAAAGATGCAAGGAGGTCAAGTATTGCTCGGCTGAGTGTCAGAAGCGGGATTGGAAGACACATCGCATGGAGTGCAAGGAGTCCTCTTGAGCACCTATACAAGATGGTGTTCGTTGTGAGGATGATGGATTCAACATGCGTCAGGGAAGACTACGTAGTGGCAATTTAAGGGAACGAAATGTCAATGAATGAATGAACGATGTGCCTATTGTAAGGTCAATAAGCTAGGAAGATGAGTAATGGTATATGTTCCTTTTTCTCAATACCAGGTAAGGGTTCCGAAGAGCCAGTCCCAGGGGATAGGCGTTGTAATGGGGGCCTAGCGTAGAAATGCGAGAGAAGGTTGAGGAATGTCGATGATAGCTATGGCTTCACCGCCTGCCCTGAAGGAGGGGCAGAAAAAAAGTGGCAGCCCACCTACGCCCGCCCACCATCTCCTATGTTAGTTGACACCAGGCTAGGTTGAAATAACCCACCAGGAGAACCAGACACCGCTGCGGCGCATATATCCATTTCATTAGGACTCGAAAGCAGCAGGAAAAATGTCCGCCGCACAGCTTCTCAACCCCAAGGCCGAGTCCCGAGTACGTGCTACCAAACGCCGGTATTCAGCAAATCCGAAGCTAATCGTGAACAGAGGAGGGGCGAAGCTCTGAAGGTCAACATCAGCGCTGGCCAGGGCCTGCAAGATGTGCTCAAGTCCAACCTGGGCCCTATGGGCACGATTAAGATGTAAGAAGACAGGAACAGTTTTCCTTTGAATTTAATTTTTACTAACCCACCATGTAGGCTTGTCGACGGCGCTGGCCAGGTCAGTCTTGGGAGCCGGAACCCCTCAGCGAACTTCGTTACTCACAAATGCGGATATAGATCAAGCTTACCAAGGACGGAAATGTGCTACTGCGAGAGATGCAAATTCAGAACCCAACTGCCGTTATGATTGCGCGAGCTGCGACGGCCCAGGATGATATCTGCGGAGATGGAACCACTTCCGTGGTTCTGCTGGTGGGAGAGCTACTCAAGCAGGCCGACCGTCACATTTCCGAGGGACTTCACCCCCGAATCATCACCGATGGCTTCGAGATTGCCAAAGTGGAGGCTCTTAAGGTATGTAGCTGATAATGGACATCGGCAGTGGCGTGCGAGGGCTAACTCTGCTACAGTTCCTCGATGACTTCAAGATCGCCAAGGAGGTCGACCGAGAACTTCTCATCAGCGTTGCACGAACATCCCTGGCCACGAAACTGAACTCAACACTCGCTGTTCAGCTTACCCCCGATATCGTCGATGCTGTTCTGGCCATCTACCAGGCCCCTGCCAAGCCCGATTTGCACATGGTTGAAATTATGAAGATGCAGCACCGTACTGCCGCCGATACTCAACTGATCCGTGGTCTGGCTCTGGACCACGGCGCTAGACATCCGGATATGCCGAAGCGACTGGAGAACTGCTACATTCTGACGATGAATGTAAGCTTAGAGTACGAGAAGACGGAAATCAACTCTGGATTCTTTTACAGCAGCGCCGAACAAAGAGATAAGCTGGTAGAAAGCGAGCGCCGATTCGTTGATGCCAAGTTGAAGAAGATCGTCGAGCTAAAGAAGGAGGTTTGTGGAAATGACGGAAAGAAGAACTTTGTCGTCATTAACCAGAAGGGTATCGACCCCCTCTCCCTGGATGTCCTGGCAAAGAACGGTATTCTCGCTCTCCGAAGAGCCAAGAGAAGAAACATGGAGCGTCTGCAGCTCATCTGTGGAGGTATTGCCCAGAACAGCGTTGATGATCTGTCAGAGGATGTTCTTGGCTGGGCAGGTCTTGTCTACGAGCAGACCTTGGGAGAAGAGAAGTACACCTTCGTGGAGGAGGTCAAGGACCCCAAGTCAGTGACCCTCATGATCAAGGGTCCTAACGCGCACACCATTGCACAAGTCACAGATGCAGTACGAGATGGTCTCAGAAGTGTTTACAACATGATTGTCGATAAGAGTGTTGTTCCTGGTGCTGGTGCTTTCCAGGTCGCTTGCGCGACTCACCTGAAAGGAGAGTTCAAGGACGGTGTCAAGGGCAAGGCTAAATATGGTGTTGAGGCTTTCGCTGATGCTCTACTCGTCATTCCCAAGACGCTGGCTGCCAATGCTGGACACGATGTCCAGGATGTTTGTGAGTGATTCCACTGTTTAAAGATTCTGTTGAGTAACTGCTGACATAAATTCTAGTGGCCCAACTCCAAGATGAGCACAACGAGGGTGATATCGTTGGTCTCAACCTCGAGACCGGCGAGCCCATGGACCCCGAACTAGAAGGTGTCTTCGACTCGTACAGAGTCCTGAGAAACTGCATGGCGTCCAGCTCCGGCATCGCTTCTAACCTGCTGCTCTGTGATGAATTGTTGAAGGCGCGCCAGATGGGTAGAGCTGGAGGTCCTGGCCCAGGTATGGACGGACCTAATGATCACATGTAAGAATAAGAGCTACAAAATCGGGGATAGATCTCAAGACTCTTCAATGTCATTATGGCCAAATATTCTAATGATGATACACTCTTCCTGTTTCCAAACCGGTTGCACGCTACCTACTCACATATTGCAAAATAATACGTCTCGTGTCCCTCTGCTTGGTTGCCGCACACATCCCACCAAAGAAAGTCTTATCGGCCGCGATAAGCCCCGCATTGGGCTGTATAACATAGAAAAAAAATCCTAACCCCACCATCAATCAGTAAACTCGATAGGAACGATGGCTTCATACGACTCAGATTCCTCAGACGGGGAGTTCGAGGAGACCAATGTTCTCCTCGGATATGCCTCGAAAGAAGCCGACGAAGACACAATCAGTAGGTTAGGCGGCGTACCGGTAAGAGCATATTCTATAAAAAGCTTTCTGTCACCAAGTATTGACATGACTAGGATTGGCTAGATGCCGACCACCCGCCAAGCGCTGCGCTGGCGCGATGCAAAGTCTGCAAAGATCTAATGGTGCTGCTCCTTCAGCTGAATGGAGAACTCCAGGAGCGCTTCCCTGGCCATGAGCGACGAATCTACGTTTTCGGCTGTCGCAGGTCTACATGCCGCAGGAAGGACGGTAGCATTCGGGCGCTAAGGGCACAGAGGATCTGGAAAGACGAGGTAAAGGAGGAGCCGAAACCAGAAAAGACAGAGGAGAAACCGGAACCGGCACCTTCGAAACCAGACGCTCCAGCTTCAGGACTTGGTGAAGCTTTATTTGGAGCGAAAGGGTTGGGAGGATCTGCGTCTGCGAATCCCTTCTCAAGTGGTGGCGCGAACCCCTTCTCGAGTGGTGGTGGCGGCGCAAATCCATTTGCACCTCCGTCGGCCTCCAACAGCAACCCATTCGGCTCCTCTTCAAAGCCTGACACGCCCGCCGAGCCTGCGAAGGCAAGCGAGACCCAGGAGAAGGAAAAGTCTCTTACGAAATCGTTCGCGGAAACTCTCTCGCTCAACGCTCCTCCAACTCAGCCTCCTCCACCCCCCGAGCCTTGGCCAGAGGCCAAAGAACAGCCTCAGCCATACCCGACTCTTTACCTTGCTGACGCAGAGTACGAAACTCTTGACCCAACGCCAACCAAAGTCCCTGAGAATGCTCGCATTGAAGATGCCGATGCCCCTGAGCCTTCCGCGCTTGACCGGGAGGCGTTCGAGTCCACCATGGACTCCGCCTTCCAGAAATTTGCGGACCGACTCTCGCAAAACCCCGAGCAAGCCATTCGATATGAGTTTGGCGGCACGCCTCTCCTCTATTCCAAGACGGACCCCGTGGGGCAAAAGCTATCCCAGGGAGGCATGCCCGGCTGCGGCAACTGCGGTGGGCGCAGGACATTCGAGGTGCAGCTGACCCCGCACGCGATCGCAGAGCTCGAGGAGGATGATTTGAGCTTGGAAGGGATGGAGTGGGGGACGATCATTGTCGGCGTTTGTGCGTCGGACTGCGTGCCCCGTGGCACGAAGACCGGAGAGGTAGGGCACGTTGAAGAGTGGGCAGGTGTACAATGGGAGGAACTGGTGAGCAGAAAATAAAGAAACGTAGGAATTGTCAAATGCGGAAACGAAAGATTCATGACCCCAACCAACTCGTGCTATTTTCAAGCGGTTTATTTTAGATCTTTGCTATCGCTCTTCAATGACATTGCCCTGTATATATATGTAAACGCCATGGTGAATTCTCCTTTTTTCCCTTCCTAATTCATGCCTTATCCTCTTGCATCATACGACGTCATGAGCTTAAGCCACTCCCATCTCGTAGCATTCATACAACCTCCTCCCAGGATCTCCTGATTACCCTTGAGAACTGCTCGACGCTGACGTCCTCGCGGATCTCGGCCTTCTTGGCCTCGTTGTCGGGGTTCGAAGGCACCTTGACGGATCCATCCTCCTCCACGGACCACCCAGCGACCTCCGAGACGAACTTCTTGGTGGCGTCCTCGCTCAACCCTAACCACGCCTCGAGGTGGCTTAGCTTGATCTCGCGGAAAGCCTGGGAAACGAGGAGGGCGATGCGGTGGCGGATGGTGTCCTCGAAGCCGGAGATGTCGGCGATGAGGTCGGCGCACAGATCGTCGCCGTCGAGGGTGGCCCAGAAGCTGGAGTACTGCGCACCCTCGAGCTGCGAGTTGAGCGTGCGGAGCTTGTTCACGGCTTCGTGGAGCTCGCCCGAGTTGGCGGCGGAGGGGTTGATGAGGTGGAGGGCGAGCGAGAACTGAGGGGAGGGGAACTGCGTCATGGCCTTGACGAGGCTGTTGGTGACGACCTCATCCTTGAGCCTGTCGGGGTTGAGCTGGTACCTGTGTTTCGGAATAACGGTCAGAATCTCGCGATTTCATCCGACGCATGGAGGGGGAGAGGTTTAAGAGTTATTGCATGAAATGCATTCAGACACACTAAAGGTAACTTCAGATACGATGATATATTTCACGATATATATCGCATTCAGGTAATAGGAAACGTTGACATTCAAGTCATCATAAAAATATAAACCCAACGCAAAAAGATCGCGGCAGTTTAACAAGACTCGTCCAGGACTCACAGTTTCAACAGCGTGCGGTTGGCATTGCTGTCAGTGTACTTCTGCTCGCATTGCTCTTGCAAGTAGGATTCCAGTGTGCCAACAGCTTCGGGATTGTAGCGCTCCAGGCCGTTAATGATGCCGGAGATGTATTCGGGTCTCTCGGGCGGGTCTTCACCGTTCATTGTGGCGGTATTGGGGAGATGGTGTCGGGGTGTGTCGAGGGGGAAGTTCGCGATGGTGGGGCAGGGGAAAGATTTCGATAAGTTGTGTGGTTAGCTGGTTGTGGGCGATCAGGGAGGGGGTTTTGCCGGAAAGTCACATTTTCCGCTCCATTGATTCATGCATTGCTTAGTCACGTGCTTCGCGTGAACCGTCGTCATGTTCACGATGTAAGGGGATATGTAATGAATCATAATCAGTTGCCGATGGTAAACGTGAATTTATTATGAAGTTTTGACGAAATATAGAGGATGCACAACGAATACTCTTTTTCGATGTTTTTCTAGCTCGTTTCCATCATCATTTCCTCATTGTTCCGCTCCTCGCCATGCCGAGCCCGGCGAAGAAGCGGAAGCTCAACAATGGCTCCAAAACACCAACTGTTCCTGCAAAAGGGTTGGAATACTTCTTCTCTAAGCAAAAGAGCTCAGTTCCTTTTAAATCTGAAGAAACACCCTCAGCAAGTGGCACGTCAAATGAGGTCGAGCTCACAGATGAGGAGCTGGCCCGTAAACTTCAAGCTGAATGGAATCAAGAGGTGACTCATGAAGATCCTAAAGGGAAATCACAAGTCAAAGAGGAGGACTTTGCGACTCAAGCGTCCGATGAAACTCAAATCAACAAACAAGAAAAGCTGAAAGAAGATAAAAATCTCCTGGGCGACGAAGCAAACAGAACGGTAGCTCCGGCGCGATCGGAGACCACTCTAAAGAAGACACTGACTCTGCAGCCTACCAGGATGGCCGAGGATTCTGTAACATATTCAATTCCTTTAGATGAATCGCCTTTGACATTTGACACCACCAAGTATATTGGCTCGCTACAAGAGGCCTGGGCTCCTGAAGGAGGACATGCAACATACGCTCTGCTCACTCGATGCTTTTATCTCATTAATGCTACGAGGAGCCGGATAAAGATAGTAGACACGCTAGTCAACTGCTTGCGCATTCTAATAGAAGGAGACCCCTCAAGCTTACTACCAGCTGTAAGTGAGATTCCAAACATAAGCATTCGACTTTGTCTAATATGCGTAGGTATGGCTGGCAACAAATTCCATTTCGCCTGCATATATCTCATTGGAACTAGGACTAGGGGGTTCAATGTTATCCAAGGCCCTCAGGCAGGCGTGCGGTTTAGACAACAGGTCACTCAAGTCCCTCTACGACAAATACGGTGATGCTGGTGATGTTGCGTTTGAAGCAAAGAAAAAACAGAGCTTCACTTTGAGGAAACCAAAACCGCTTACTATCCAAAATGTCTACAAGAGTCTAGTCAGCATTGCAAACAGCCAAGGAAAGGGCAGCGCGGAGGCAAAGCAGCGAATTGTGGACCGTCTGCTACAGGATGCGCAAGGTGGTGAAGAGAGTCGATTCATTGTCAGGACTCTCTGTCAACATGTAAATCCCTACACTCGGCCCTTTTGAGAAAAACAAGCTGACAAGCAGGTTCTAGCTTCGCATCGGAGCGGTCAAAACAACCATGCTCATAGCATTGTCAAGGGCCTTTCTGCTCTCAAAGCCACCCGGTGCTGATTTCCCCTTGAGATCAACCAACGAGCTCTCCAAATTGAAGAAAGAGGAATTAGCCGAAGTTTGGGGCAAATCAGAAGAAATGGTGAAGGCCTGTTTCGCAAAGCGGCCAAACTACAATGACTTGGTACCGGTCCTATTAGAGATCGGGGTCACGGAGGAGCTATCGCTTCGATGTGGGCTTGCCCTGCACATACCACTCCGCCCTATGCTTGGCAGCATCACTCGAGACTTATCTGAGATGCTCATAAAATTACAGGGGCGAGACTTCGCTTGCGAATACAAATACGACGGTCAAAGAGCACAAGTTCATTGCGACGAGGATGGGAAAGTGTCAATATTCTCTCGGCATCTGGAGCTCATGACAGACAAATATCCCGACCTGGTCGAACTGGTTCCAAAGATACGAGGCGATGGAGTCGAGAGCTTCATCATGGAAGGAGAAGTCGTCGCTGTGGATAATTCCACTGGGGACTTGAAGAACTTTCAAACCCTGTCTAATAGGGCACGCAAGGATGTCTCGATGGGTGCTATCTCTATCAACGTTTGTCTTTTCGCCTTCGACCTAATGTTCTTGAACGGGCAGCCATTACTTGATCGGCCTTTCCGGGAGCGAAGAGAACTACTTCGATCACTATTTATTGAAGTCCCTCACCACTTCACTTGGGTGAAGAGTTTAGATGCAACGTCACAGGATTCAGAATCTGTGCTAGAATTCTTCAAGTCAGCCACGGAAGAAAAATGCGAGGGTATCATGGTCAAAATGTTAGATAATTCATCTACCTCTGCTATCGACCCTGTTGCAGAAGGAAAAGCCAACGCCTCAGAAGATCTGGAGACTTTTGATGAGGGAGAGAAATCAGAAAAGAAGAAGGCTCCAGCTGAAGGCGATAAAGACGGGGAAGAAAAGAAAACTAAAGGTCGCAGGAAGCCGCTTCTTGCTACATATGAGCCTGATAAACGACTGGAGTCATGGCTCAAGGTTAAGAAGGATTACCACTCCAGCTTTGACACCCTCGATTTGATACCTGTAGCAGGGTGGCATGGTCAAGGTCGAAAAGCGAAATGGTGGTCGCCCATTCTTCTTGCCGTACGCAATGAGGATAGCGGCTCCCTCGAAGTCGTGTGCAAGTGCATGTCTGGCTTCACGGATGCATTCTACAAGGCGAATAAGGAGTTTTACGACGATGGGGCTGAAACAGGTGAGCCTAAGAACACAAAAGCGCAACAGCCAAGCTTTATAGAGTATTCTGGCCCGCACCCTGATGTCTGGTTCGAGCCTCAAGAGGTTTGGGAGATGGCCTTCGCAGACATCACACTCAGCCCAACGTACACAGCAGCCATAGGGCTGGTGAGCGATGAAAGAGGTTTGAGCTTGAGGTTTCCTCGGTTCCTTAACAAAAGGGAGGACAAGAGCATTGAAGAAGCCAGCACAAACGAATTCCTTGCTGGATTATGGAGGAAGCAGGAAGCTAAAGGCACAACGACCAAGGAAGAGTCAGAGGAGCCAGCTGATGAAATCGAGGAGTGATTTCAGTGGTAATCTTAGAGAAACAAACAATTTACAATATTGCGAAGCACACTTCAGGCGCCTCGTCGCCGCATTGAAATTTGCCCTCAGGTTGCCGAATCTTGGTTGGTAATTTACATTATCGAAGCACAGGCCAGTTCGACCTTTTGTCTGATTATTTGCTAGCATTCATCTTCTGGGCAATCACGCTGAATACTGCAATGGTTCCCATAAAAAGTACAGCGTTGTAGAACTGGGCAAACAGACGGTTTCCTAATGATTAGAAATGTCGCTACTAAGAGGATAAATGAGAATGAAATCAGAACTCACCGCCTTTCTGGAGACTTCTCGTTCCTCATCGTCGGTCCTCGCCTCAATGAAGAGTCGGCGAAGGTTCGGGAAGTTTGCCTAGCGCCCATCAGTTATGTGTAAAGGCATAGGTAGAGAGTTCCGAGCCTTACCATATTATATATTTGATAGGCGATCGAGGTTATGAGATTTTTGTATTAATTGCCCATTGCATCATTGGGTGAAGGGACCAGGCAACGAAATAACGTTCTTGAGGTTCACGTGCTATCTTCAGGCGGCGCTGTAGTGAGATTAAGTGGTGGAGACTGGAGATGGTTGATGGCTGACTAAGCTGGAACAACTGTCCCATTGCCTGTGATGCAGTGCTCAGGCGCAAGCCCAGGCGGCTTAAGGTAGGGGGGATTACTATTTTGTAGATGGCAACGGTGTCTTGCTCTTGGCACACCAGGTACTGAACCTCCAACTCTACAACACTCCAAGCGACATACTTCGGTCACGATTTGGCCAACATCGTGTGGTCTACGCTGGCCTTGCACTTGGCAAACGACTGGTTTAGTGTCTTGCTCTCGGCGAGACGCACCCCTCAACCTACCTCTTGAACCCCGACCAGCTCAAAGCCACCGATACCTCGATTCCTGCTGCCCCTCCGCCGCGACAAGTCTGACAACCACCCACGATGGCGGTCAATCGCATAAGAGGCGCCTTCCAGGTACCTCGGAAGGGAGAGACATTTGAGCTCCGGGCAGGCCTGGTTTCTCAATATGCCTATGAGCGAAAGGAGTCTATCCAGAAAACCATCATGGCCATGACTCTTGGCAAAGATGTCTCAGCTCTCTTTCCAGATGTGCTGAAGAACATCGCAACAGGCGATCTGGATCAGAAGAAGCTCGTTTATCTTTATCTCATGTCAGTCACTACCCAGAGCGGCCCCTTTTGCTTCCAGCTCCTTCTCCTCTCGCATGCTAACACTGTCCCCAGGAATTATGCCAAGTCACACCCCGACCTATGTATTCTGGCTGTGAATACCTTTGTACAAGACTCCGAAGATCCGAACCCCTTGATTCGAGCACTTGCAATTAGGACGATGGGCTGCATTCGGGTAGACAAGATGGTGGATTACATGGAAGAACCTTTGAGAAAGACATTACGAGACGAATCACCATACGTACGAAAAACGGCGGCAATTTGCGTTGCGAAGCTCTTCGACCTAAACCCTTCGATGTGTATCGAGAACGGATTCCTCGAGACTCTGCAGGAAATGATTGGTGACCCAAACCCTATGGTGGTGGCCAACTCTGTTCAGGCCCTGTCAGAAATCCATGAAACTGCCCCCGAGACAAGGGCATTGATTATCACATCAGCAACACTCAAGAAACTTCTCATGGCCCTCAACGAATGTACCGAATGGGGCCGAGTAACAATTCTCACCACGTTGGCCGACTATAGCTCAACCGACATCAAGGAGTCTGAGCACATTTGCGAGCGAGTTGCTCCTCAGTTCCAACATGTCAATCCCAGCGTTGTCTTGGCCGCCGTCAAGGTGGTTTTCATTCACATGAAGTCCATTGGCCCAGAACTTGTTAAATCATACCTCAAGAAGATGGCTCCCCCTCTG